TTGTTTTTCCTCGCTGCCAGCCTTACAATTTTTAATTAAATTGCTTTCCTTTTTTCTGCTTATTTTTTGGGTGTATCATTTTTGGACCTGGCTTGGCTTGGACTTTGTGGTAAAATTTACTATGTAATTTCCGCACAGGGGACACGGCGAAGATTCCTGTTTTACTTGCTGCAGCGCACTTGAATTTTAATAGAAACAACTGCAGCAGCAGCAGCCGGGAAAGGTCCGAGATTGAAAGGGGGCAGGGAAAGGGGCAGGAGATTCGAGAAAATGTGTACGAGTATGTTGCCATTATGTCATAACTCATGGCTGCTGCGCCTTCAGGTATGCAACGCTCTGCAATTTTTTTCCTTGGTTAAAAGAAGAGGGCCAAAAGAAGCGGCAAATAAAGAAGATCGAGAATGAGCCAATGAAGTACGTATATATAATGTATTAACCCTTTTTAAGTTTGTGTTTTTATAAGTATTTTCTCATACTGTAAAACAATTTTAAACTTAACAAATGATACCTTATGGTAGCCTAACAATATATTTATAGTTACAATTTACAAATCCCTTTTCATTACTCCCTACTTTTATTTCGAATTAAATTAATTTGAAGGGAAAATAGACAGCATTGCTTTTGGGGTTAAAGGAGCGGAAATTATTTCAACAAGTTACAAATTTTGGGAGTACGTGACAGTTGGTTTTCGTTTTGGTTTCGGTCCAGCCCATATTGTTATGTTTGTCGCGTAGATCTGATCAATGACCTGCGAGGCGATGGCAATCCAGCCAGCAGCCATTAGATTTCAATAGGTTCTGGCTGGGAGCGCTCGATTTCGCCTCGCAATGCCGGAAATTGTGACAAATTGATTGAACTAAATGGTAAGAATATCAGGCATCAAATTGCCTGTAACAACGAGAGAGAACTCGGCCATTGGAATGGACTGAAAAGCGGGTGGCTTTCGTGGGTTCGTAGGTTTTGTGGATGGGTGAACATGTCTGCCTCGTGATTCCTCAGCTATCATCGATTTGCGGATAAAAAAAAAACAGAGAGACCCACGCACTTCGAGCTAGACAAGTTTCATATGTCAGTCTCAAGTGTCTTCGCCAGACGACAACAAAAACATCGAGCCGTTCTACAATAAGTCCTCCATTCTGCGTCCTTGTTTTTGTGCTCGATATTAAAGCAGGAATTCATATTAGAGCCAAAGAAACTCACAAATCAACACGCATCAAAAAATAAGTCAATTCTCTAATTCATTATCTCTACATAATAACTCTATTTCATTAAAAACAAATTAATATAAAAACAAATAAATGGTAATCTTTTATACTTATTTATGTGTTATTTATTTTATAGTGCGAATGCGAAATATATTTTTACTATTGATACATTTTTCTATTAAAGGTCAATCCTTTTCCACGTTTTCTACTCAATCTTAGGTCTCTTTAGAACCTGCCTCTGACAATTATGGCCAACCTTTTGCTTTGCGACCAAACAAGTGCCAACGGCAAAGGCAAGAAAACTTTCCCTAACGAAGATTGATTTCACTTTTGGACAGCATTGTCCACTCTCGAAATGCAGTTTTATTCACCAGCCATTAATCAAAGTACCAAATAGGTTTGTTTCTGTTGTAAGCATGCTGATTGATTGATTAATTGGTTTTCATTGCCAATGCAATTGGAGGTTAATAAATTAGTTTCGAATAACTTTTTGCCAGTCAAGTGGTACTCGGAATTGAAAAAAGTAAAAATGGCTGACACTTTAGACAGGGAAATTAGGTGCAAATAAATAAATACTTAATTGAAGGACGCGAAAGTTTTTTGATTAATAACCAAAGCAATAGGCTGTTGTAGAATATAATGAATTAAAAAAAAAAACATAGCAGGTTGGCCAATTGAAACACAATGAAATAGGAATCAAATGGACTACCTTGTCGAACTTTGGCCATAATTCAGTTGGCTAGAACCACAAACTGCTTTTCGTTTTTTTTTTGGGATCTCCCCTTTTTTTTTATGATCTTTGCCTTTCCAGTTTTTTGGGTTTGCCTTGAGTGGATTTATTGTTTCGAGTGGCAAATACAAATACAAAATTGCAGCCATCACCCACATCAATTTTGGGCGCACGTTGTCGACTCCTGTCAGCCACAATATTCTTCTTGTTAACAATAGTAGTAAGGATTCGAGGTCTTGAGGATTCGGGCTACTGGTTGTTGCCGAATGAATGGCCCTGGCTGGCACACTTTGTCACTTCAATTTCGATGGCCCGGGATGTTGGTTATTGTTGTTAATGTTCCTGCTGACACGGCCATATATGTGAATTGAGAACTCGAACTGTCCCAGTTGCTCCATCTCCATCTCCATTTCATCTTCATCCCGGAGACAATGTGTTGCAAAGGCCTTTGTCTTTAACTTGGTCGCCTTCTTGTTCGGCTTCTGCCTCGATTCGTTGTTTTTTCTCTGTGCTTTATTGTTATTCCATGATTTGACTCAGGACCAAGTTCTAAGGACGACAGGCGGCTTTGTTTGCGGATTTCCAAGAGATTGCATTGCCTTTAAAGTTTGCGCCTAACTTGGGGGATTTGTATGGGTTCATTTTGGATTGCACTTGATGGCAGAGAAAGTCCTAAAAAACAGGGGATGTCTACTTAATTTTGTGGGAATTTGATTTATTTATTATAAATTTAAATAAATATTTTTTAAAAATTTTCTGTGATTAACAAATGTTTTAATAAAAGGTTTAAATGCCGTTTGGTGTGTAAATAAAATTCCCATCTGTATTTCTGTATTCTGTATTTAGTTTTCTTTTCTTTTTTCTTTTCGATTTTAGGTCACCATTTACCACAAGACAAAGCCATAAATTAAATATACATCTTTGAACTATGTTACTCTATTTCTTTACTCACACTCTTAAGTTCATTTTGCATCGGAAAGTTTGCCAAGAAAGTAAAACATCTTAAAAATTTCATAATTTGTCTTGTCATTAAAGCAGCCTCTCCTATTTCCATTGCCAAGTGACTGAACTGACTGCAATGCAGCAGGAAGGCCATTTGTGTCACTCGTAAATTTCAATGCCGGCAACAAGCCGCCAGCATTCGCATTCCCATTTTATACTTTATTTCCATTTCCTCAATTTTTTTCCATTTCCTCCGCTCTCAATTCCCGAATGTTGGCAAGTGGCAGTCATTGGCTTTCGCAGGGCCCTCCCGATTTTCGGATAGTGCTTAAAAATTTGCAGATTTACTGCGTTGCAGAAGGCGAGGAACTAGAGCTCCAGAAAACCGCACGCGCCGCAGAATTTACGAGAGTGCCGAAAACTTGACATTTCTCTGGCGCCACAGCTGAGGACAAAAGGCGCTGTCGTCATTTTCCCAGTGACTCCGCATAATGAGTAGTAATGCCTCTGGCTTGGAAATAACTTGTGACTCCCTCTTGCCACAAAATCAATGAAATCTCTTCTCCTATAAACATTAAATTGAATTCCCTTCGATGGGAATTGCAACAATCAATTGAATTAAATGTGAATTTTTAGGGGAGTTTCCTCATATTTTTCTTTACCCCTTTTGCATTGAGCTCTCGAGTGACGAAATTGGCTTGAAAGCTGTTCCTTCTTGGCCATTTTCAATTAAACGCCCGCCCAAATTAAAGCCCATTTATGGAAATTTCTTATTAATTGAGCCAAGAAGCGAGCGGAGCATTGTGTTGATTTATGCGCCCAGTGCGCTCATAATTTAACAACCAAGGCCAAAAGGCCATAATAGTCTTCGCTGGGCTTTAAATGCGCCGATGAACTGAACTGAGCGCCACATTTTCCAACAGACGCTTAAATTATGCAAGTTAATTTGCAGCTGCCTGAAAATGATGACAAGAAATACCGCACACCCACTCGCAAACACACACATTCCCACACATACATATATACATAGAGCACAACAGGGCAGGAGTTCTTGCTCCTGGAACCTGGATCCTTGCTCCTGGCAGCCTAACAAGAGTTATTTCCCACAGACCGGAAGTGAAGTCGACATAAATTGTGGTCGGAACTAGTCGGCCCATCTGCACCCTCCAACCGGCAGCCACGTTGGCCATTTAATACATTGCGACAGCTATTCGGAAAGCGGGGAAAGGAAAAGTGGAGGGAAAGGGGAGGGAGTGGGTGGAAAATGTCGGAGGTAACACACCACCTTCTTCCAGGTGGAGAAACTTGCAGGCAGAAGTTGGAATTAAAAGTCGGATTGACTGCTTGTTTATTGAATCTTATTTGATGACTTAAAGAAGTTCAAGTAACGGTAATGTTGGTTTAGTTAACTTCAAATAGTGTTAAAGTTAGTTAGTTTGAAAAAAGATTAACGAAGCTGATTCTTCTATTTAATTGTTTTAAAATATTAAAAGTTTTATAGTTATCTAAAATTCATATATGCGTTGGAACTTTTACTTAGTGAAGTGAATTGAGTTTGTTCTTCACTTTTCACCCAATTGCATTGCAAAATAAAAGGCCAAAATCTCGATAAAGAACGGAGTTTTCCTCGTTCTGGACTTTTGGTCGACTGTCAGAGGCAACTCTTTTCATGGGAAAACTGCCTAAGCACACAAAAACGGGGGAAAGACCAACTTGTTGTCATGCTTTGTTATTTGTTTGCGGTCGTTTTCATTTCATTTACAGTTGCAGTTGAAGTGGCGGAATGGGGCCGCCATGAGGATCCCCGCTGCCTGATTTCCCCAGGTGCCACACACGGTGGCAACATGGCAACAGGACTCCACTTTCGCATGAGAGCCCGTATTTCGGATTTTCATATTTTTCCCTGACCATTCGGGTTTCTTGTGCCCTCCTCGGAAAACCTCATTTCCCACAGATAACACACATCATAACCAGAAGAGCGGGAAAAGTGTTGTTGGAGTAGGCTTATGAATAGGAAATGAGTGCCATTTTCCTGCGGTGTGTTTTTCACGTTTTCACGCTTACCTTCCAGATTGCAGTTAGGAATTTTTAACTCTTGGTAAGCCAATACAAATGCAATACCATTATAGTCTATATTTTTTTATTTCTTTATAATATAATACCAGATTTCATAGCTAAAGGAAAAACAAGGGAATCAACTTTCCCATGGCATTACCAATTCTAAAGTGTCTGGGTTCTTTTTAAGATTTCAATAAAGCTTAAATGCATATTAAATGGTTCATTTAACGGCAATTCTAGAGTCCGTAACCAATCCCAAGCTTATATTTTACCCATTTAGAAACTGTTTACAATTTTCTGTAATATTTACCAACACTTCTTTGAAATGCATTGATATTTTAGTACATTTAATTTTCCCCTTCGTCATTATAGTGGTATTCGTAGTCTGGTATTGGTGGCAACTCTGAATCCTGCTCATATTTCGGGAGTGGGAACTCAGTTGAATTGGGTTCCTCATCTTTTCTTCATCGGTTGGGGCAAATAAGTCTCCGCCATCACAGTTCTTGACGGGTTCGTTCTTGTGGCAGAGGTACTGGTAGACTTTATTTGCACCCTTCGTGCAGTTGGAAGCTGCATTTCCCCCTGTGACCTCGTAGACAGGATTGAACTCATCCGTGGCGATGGTGACGCCACAGTTGTAAACGCACTTGAGCAGTTGGTGGACCAACGAGGGTCGGATAAATTCGATAATGGCACAGCCCAACCGGTTTGCCCGATCCCTCAGCACCTGGAAAAAGTGCTGTGAGTACTCACTGAAGGTAAAAGTTAAAAAATGGTTGAAGTAGTGTAAGTTTTGTTAACTCACATATCCTTTTTGTCCGAGTTGAGGTATAGCATCACCACATTTTCTTGATTCGTTGGATCTATCCAGTCAGCGAGTTGTTTCCGCAGCACATTTTTCTTTGTGGACATACAGTAGTACTTTTGCATATGGTAGCTGGCATCCGCATATTCATATTTCGGTGTTTTGACACAATCATCATCATCGTATGTCCTACATTGGCGCACCAAAGCATCGGCGACTTTGGCCAATTCCGGGTCCCATCGAAGCGTGGCCATTCTGGCTGCTCTGGGATAAGAATGAAGTCCGCCGGCAAACTTATTCCGATAATCATTGTGTGTGTCCACGATTATCTTGATTATATCCGGAGTCATTTTCACCATGGCGGTGGCTCGACTGGGACAAGTTGATTGGAATTTCTGGAAGAAAACTTATCTTAACTGATCATTAATTCAAAGTAATAAAATGTCTTACTTACCCCTTTTGTCGTTGCAGAGAATGTGTTGTCCTCTGCAAAGGTTCGGTTTGCACCATTTATTCGTAGCCCCGATCTCAAGATCAACCACAATGAGGAAAAACAAGGAAATCAACTTTCTCATGGCATTACCAATTCTAAAGTGTGTTCTTTGGGTTCTTTATAAGATTTAAATAAAGCTTAAATGCATATTTAATGGTTCATTTAACAGCAATTTCCGTAACAAATGTCAAGCTTAAATTTAACCATTTGAAACTGTTTACAATTTTCTGCAATATTTACTAGCACTTATTTGATTCTCGAAAACTTAAGGTATCAAAAAGAATTTTATTACTTATTACAGATCTCATTTATCAATGATTGAAGTTGGGCAAGCTCAATCTAAAAATTCAAATCAACAACAAATGAGCAAATTGATAGAGGAAGTGGCTTAAGTGGCTGTCTGATTTTACCATTTAGTCTTCAAGTGAGGAATTTAAAGAAGAAAATTCTTGTCTGGGACTCTCTAATTCTGTACTTAATTGTCTCGTGAACTTTTAACACTGCGCTCTTTATTTAAGCCTGCTGGAGTAGAATGCTCTGTTTAGTTGCCGTGAAATAATAAATCCAATAATACACACATTAGCCGCACCACATTTGCCGCTTAACGGCGGCTTAGCGAAAGAAAAGACAGATTCTGCAGTCTTTTCTGTTCTTCCCCCTTTTTTTCACCGACGAGTTTTCACTGTTCCATGAGCCACTCAACTAAAAGTCTAATCCACTTATTGGTAGTTGGTTCGAATTAGAAGAACCAACATGCAGCAAAAGGTTTTCGTATAAAAACTTGGCTGGGTTTAAAGCTCCACCAACTGGTCAATTCAAATCAAAAAAAAAAAAAAATACTGAAAAATTGGAGCACAAAATCACAGAGAGAGCCACAGTCGCTTTTTGGCCAAATTATTACACACTGGCTTACAAAAAGGAACATAAAGGAATTCCCTTTGGTCGCTTTCACAGAGTTTTTCGAATTCGTTTGAGGACTTTTTTTTGGGCAACAAAGAGTTGGCACCATGAAGGCAAATTAATTAAACTAATTGACTTTGAATGGTAACGAAGCGAATACGCGTTGTGACACACATAGAAGACCTGAAATAAAAACAAAGTTGAAAACGTACAAAAGTCGTCACATTCATTTTCCACGCCATATTCATTTTGAATGGCAAAAATGCATTAACAGCGCGCGTCCAAATGAAATGAGATATCAGAGATAAATCTTTATGGGATGTGAAAAAAAGCCAAGTAACTCTCATTGATGTTTGTACATTTGGTTTTAGCCGGGTTAATGAAATGGAATGATAATATTGTTGAAAGCATAACTAACTAAGAAATTAAAATTTGAAATTAAAGTTGCATATAAAAATTAATATTTACCATTTTCATTGAGCCGCGTTACTATTTATGCATTTTTGCACATTACACGTTTATTTTCAATGGCTGCAATCAAGACATAATATTTGCCATACAAATACCATGCCATACAAATTCCGACTCCCCGGAGATTTTACCTTCCAATTAGCTGCTGAAAATGGATGCACCGAATTGTCATATCGATTGCCGGATTCACATATTTGACGGCAGATGACTCATATCCCCAAGCTTCCTTTCCCGGAATCCGCATTAATTACACGCCTTCCCCCGCGAATCGCCTGTGGGGAAATCAGCAGCGCAAATTGTCGCAGGCAAAAAGTAATGAAAACCCTGGGAGAAAGGAAACCGAAATTGAAATTGAATTTCGGCAGCCGTTGCCACAAAAATGCTTTTAATGCGAACCGAATGCGTTCAGGAATTCGCCTTGAGTGGCCAAATGAAAATGAGTCGTCGGCATGAGTTCGAGTACTATATGTCATAATTAATGTTGATTGCCTGATTGAATGGTAGACCGTGTGTGCGAACGACAATCCCAATTTCCATGGCCATCGAACCTCCACTTTGCCGCCAATATTGCGTTTCCGATTTAATATTGAGTGTCAACTTGCTTTCCAGCCCATTTCAGGTGTTCTTGTTCAGGCGCATTGAAAGGATTCTCATCGGAACATATGGCGCATGGCCAAGGATGGAAAATTGTTTACTCACTGCATTTATATGAGAGTTTAATTTATAAGCTTTACTGCAAATTATAGTGATTTATGAACAATGAGTTCAAGTTTTAAATAGTTTGCTGGGTTGTCCACAAATAACTTCCAATTATTATTAATTAGTTTGCTTACAATCCCAACAAAAAATATTTTCTATTTCAGAAACGTTTATATTTTTAAGTAAGTCGTCCACGCAATTTCCCAAAACCTTTTTTTTTTTGTTTTTGTGTTACTTTATAAAAGAAATCCAAAGAGTTTATATTTACAAAAAACTACCCTATATTTCTTTTATAAAAAAAACTGGTTGGATGCTTGATTAAAAAAAAAATCCTTTACAAAACTTTTCGTAACGAAACTTGGAACGGAAAAAATGTCTTTTCAAGTGCAAGTTCCCAAAGCGAATCTATGCATTTAAAATGTTGAAGGCGCGTTTGCAAAGGGAGCGTAAGGTAAACGAGCAAAGAACTTGATGGGCGTCGTCTTTCACATGTTTGCGCCCAAGTTGTCTATCATTTTTTGTTGGCCACCTCGAAGGTCGCTGCTCCTCGGCGATGGGAAAAATGCCGAGAAAGATGGAAAAGCGATGCGATGCGATGTTTGTGGCACGTGTGAAAGATAAGGCTGCAGCATCATTATGCAGGAACAAAGGTCCTGGAAAACTAAATTGCGCCTTACGGAGCCCATTAAACGCGGTGTGGGAAATGTTTGAGGTGTCAGTGCACCGGCACTATGTGCTAATTACTTATTTATATCGCTCAAATTACACGGCACAGCTATGGCAACCTGGCAACTCTGGCAGAGCAAACTCACTGCATACTTTGCGGCGGCCCAGCGGCAAAATGTACTTCAAGTGCAGGATTTTCAGACGGGATTTGAGTATGGGCGGTTGTACAGGTTAAAGTCGTTTTCTGTTTGTTTTTTTTTCCCTCCTGCTCTGCAGACAGCAATCAATCTGGTCGAGCTGCACTCGCATCCAGCTCAGTGGATCAGACCCAATCAGTTCCCAATTGGCCGTGTAATGCGGCTCCTTTTATTTTTGATAGTTTTGCCTCAAGTTTTTACCCTTTTTCGCTCGCTACGTGAGCATTTTACCCAAGTGGCTTTGAGTGTTTAAACAAATTTTACGGAAGAATTCGTGTGGTGGGAATACCTACCTACCTACCTACCTGGAATATTTACACAGTTTTCTGCCTTTTAAGCATTTGCCATTGCGAATAGGGAGAGAGAAGCCCTTGTGATGTGATTTAATTCCGGAGAAGTGGGAACAGTGACAGCCAAGTGAAAAACAGTTTATCCACAATGAGGCTGAGAATTCTTTGACGCTCTTGGATAAACCAACTGTCTGTCTAGTTAAGCCCGACTTGCCACTTGCAAAACATTCAGGTGTGAAAATGCAACCCCATTTTCCAACTTTTCCATGTTTTTTCTCTGTTTCTGTCACTTTCAGTGTTTGGCATATCAGGTACCGCAGGCAAGTTTCGAGTTCGTTTTGTCAGTGAAAATAAAAAAGTATGAAAATGCACTTTACTCGTGCAACTGACAGCCGCCATTAAGCATTGTTGGTGAAATTATTTATTGGACTTTTTTAATGGTTAATTGCTCTTCAATAAGCATTCTATAGGGATACTTAAAAATCATATTTAAAACAAGAACGAGAGAGTATAGTAGTAGTAATAGAAATATTCAATTAATTAGGTAAGGACTAAAATTTTATCAATTATAGGAAACAAAAGGTACCTTTAACCTATTAAAGCGTTTCTTTTGGCTTGAAATAAAATCATATTTCAAGTGACCACATAGAAATCAAAATAAACGACAAGCCGTTTTCTACATTTACAAACCATTTCACCTTGGCTTGTCATTTGAAATATTTGCCCAGGTGTTGAATCTCCGTCCATCCATTTCGGTGTTTCTCGGCCCCCAGGAATTTCACTTTTACAAAAGGCACGGCGTAGACTCCGGTAATTCCAGCACCGACTGCAATGCATTCCCCGGAATTTCCGGAGGAGGCGGTTGCCATGTAAGGGCGCATTTTGCATAGTGGAAAATGCCCATGATGAAGCCGAGGAAACACCTCTGGAGCAAGAACCAAGATCCAGGAAATTTATTGCTATCGCTGTCAAAGTGAAACACAAAACGACGTCATTAAGTTATGTCGGCGCAGGGTTTTCGGCAAAAAGTTGAGTCCAAAGTTGTGAAAAAAGCGGCTGTAGGTTTTCTATAAATTCTACCTTTGTTTAAGTTCCAGTTCTAAACTACAACTTTTTATTGCTTAGATTTCCGTCACCTTTACAATTAATCGAAATGATGATAAATCTGACAAAGCAGGAGGTCAGAACATCGAACATCCTTAAATGCAGTTCTTTTAAAAATTTAATAACAAACGTTTAGAGATTTGCCACTTTAAAATCGGACTAAAATTGTCAAAGTTTCAGGTTTTGATTGCTTCACTTGGGGTCACCTTCCTGCACTCTATCGTAAAGTTGAAAAAATCTGACATGATCAGGGTTCAATGTTTCGACCACCTGGAAAGGTAACATTTTGAATGCAGTTTGTTTCAGGGTGCAATTATAAACGTTTAGAGGTATTCCACTTTAAAATCGGACTAAAAGTGGACAAGCTATCCGGTCTGAAACTCTGATTTGGTTCACCTTCTGCCGATGCACTTTAAACTTGGTTAAATCGGACAAAAGGAGGAATTTTTATATTTTAGGCACTGTTTCCATTAAATTGCTGATTTGATCATTGCAAATTTGTATAGCCGAATAAATTTGCATGTTATGTGAAGAGACAAACTCTGAGTTGAAAACCGTGTCAGTTTCGAATTTGCAAACAATTA